GATCGTCCCTGGCCACGCCGACGCCGTGGCCGGGGAGGGAGAGGAGAGGAGAGGGGAGGAGGGGGAGGAGAGAGGAGGTGGCTCCAGGGGGGTAGGAAGAAGGGCTTCAGGGAGGGAGGGAGGGAGGGAGGGAGGGAGGGAGGGAGGAGGAGGAGGAGGAGGAGGAGGGAGAGACAAACGAAAAGGAGATGGAGAAGGTGGCAAAAGACGCTCAGGAGGAGGAGGAGGAGGGAGTTGGTATTCTGACCCCCTCGTACCCCACACACACACACACACACACACACACACACACACACACAGAGACATACACACACAAGCACAAGCGAAACAAAACTCACGTTTTCTGAGACAGGATGTCTGCGAACGCTCCGTGAGCGAAATGGGCGCGTGCTTCAAGAGCACCTTGGAAGCATGGCAACGAGATAGGCCGCACACGATAGAGCCGTAGGACCGAACAACGGACACGAAAGTTATTTCGAGCGAAGCCATATCAAGAGTCGTCCTCCTCCTCCTCCCCTGCCTCCCTCCCCATTGCCTGGGAACCCCCACGTCTGGGTCAGGAGGTGAAACATCGTTATCGGCCTCGCGAGCGCGTCGGTCTGCAGCGTCTCTGCGCTGCTGCCGGACCGGTGCACCCGGAAGTCGGAGAACGCTGGGATGTACCTGGGGGGCAAGCCTCCCCGCGTCGAGAGAAAATGGCTGCAGGAGGGTTTTGGACGTCTTCGTCTGCTCTCCTGCAGCTGCGCCTCGCCGACAGCCTTCCAGGGATGCCCGAGTCGTCCCGAACGGCAACCAGAGATGCGAGCTATGGCCGAGCTGTACACGTCGTTCGTTTCTAATCGCGCTCATTTCAAATTGTGCTCGTTTCTAATTGTTCCTGGCCCCCTAGTGGCCAGGAAGAGGCCCAGGATAGAACACATAGAAATGAAAGGATCTTGGCCCCCCAAAAATCGAAGAACTTTCGAAGAACTAGAAATCAAAAATGTGTAACAGCACCACGAGAAGACATCATCAGCTTGTTGGACCACTCCTGGACATCGGGGGGGGGTTGCGGCCACGGCCGGGCGCAGCTCGGAACGCTGCTCAGGACGGTGTCGAAGAGAGGGGTCCGGGCCTGCAAAGCTCCTGGTCCTCCCACCCCCTTCCTCCTCGTCTCTCTCCTCCTCTCCCTCCCTTGGGACGCACACAGACATACTAATACGATATGTTATCCTTGGAGGCGCGAGTCCGACCCAAACATATCCATGTTGTTATATATATCGTTTCCCGAGCGGTGTGGCCAGAAAGCGCCCGCCACGACGCATATACTATAAGATTTCTCGGTGCGCGCGTCGCCCCTGGGGGGACGACGCACATATAGTATAAGTATGTTGGGGTGACGCCGATCCCTCTCATCCGTCCTTTCTTCCCCTCAAAAACAGCTCCCTGTCGCTCCCAGCGACGTGTCGGTGGGGTGGGCTGGGCGCTTCGCATCTGGGACTCCCTCACGAGCCTGAATCTGTGATTCTAGAACAGATTCGAGGCTGTGAGGGCGGGTCGTTTTCGAACTGTGGCTCCTCGAGTTCGCGTCGCGCGCAGCCGTCTTAAGAGCTCACAGCAGCCTCAGGGACGGAGGGCGGCCCGCTTCCAGAATGCAGCTCTCGCCTGAGCGCCGCGAACGCGAGTCACAAAAGCCTGCAGCAGCTCCAAGGATGGAGGGCGATGCCTCTTCAAAGTGTGGCTCTCGCCTGAGGGCCGCGCACATTCGTTTTCAAAGTGTGCAACGGCTTCAAGGATTCGTCTAGTCGAAGTGCCAGGAATGGTGTTTTCGGGCACGCATTGGGACTGTCAGGACGCAGCAGTCACGAAAATGCGAGGCGATGAAATCCCAGGAGTGATTTTCTGGCACGGATTAGAACTGTCTGGCCGAAAGAGTCACTTGCGTTCGATACGTTGTAATCCAAGGAATGCTGTTTTGGCACGATCGATGACTCTCAGACGGCGGGCACTTCCCCTAATGAACAAAGATGTTATAGGGACCTGTTGAGGGAACTTGAAGGGACGTGCATTGCAACATCGTTGCCGCGTCTTGGGTCTACACTGGTCCTCCACCTCCTCCTCCACCTCCTCATCCTCGTACTCCTCCTCCTCCTCTCCCCAGTAGCTCTGAGAACAAACCAAAACGCTGGAAATCTCCGACCGTCGTAAAAAGATACCCAAAAAACTAAATCCTGGCTCTCGTAAGGAGGGAAGCGCAGACATCTGACGTTGTGATTGATTCCACGACGTGGGTCCCCAGCACTATCGACCCCATCCCCTGGGCTAATTTCTGAGGGCGCGGCAAGATCAAGACTAGGCCGCGCACGTGGGCGAGATCACTGCAGTAGGAAAACGAGGCACACCCTTCTGCTCACACAGATGGGAACGACTTACGAGGTCATCGGACGGCAACACCTTCCCAACCATCAGGACAGTTGTGTGAGTAGTCTCGATACACGATGCATCGACAACGGCGGCACGATGTGCTCGCTCGTCTGGCGTGGCGACGCGGCCCCTTGTCCTAGGCAGCAGCGCGGCCTGCCTAAACATGCAACCCCCATCCGCCTCAAACTCGTGAGAGACATCCGTGCGGGCACCGCCTCCGGCACTGCCTGGGGTCAAAGGCCCACGCACGCACAAGGGTCATTCTGCGGTCGTTCGCTGCGAAGCCCTGGGCCCGAGAGTGACTCACGGAGGCCGAAATCGCATGACAAAACGGAGCCAGTGATCCTTTCACGAAGACTGGAAGGCACCTCATCCCTCAAAGTCAACCCCTGAATATCTCTTCTGGTGGGCTTTGGCCAGAATTCCCAAGAGGCAATCAGGCCACGGCGACCCAGAGGCTCAGAGAAGGCCTACAAAAACAACAGCATCAAACTGTCCTCCTCCTCCTCCTCCTCCACCTCCTCCTCCTCCCCTTCCTCCCTCCGTTTCTCCTCCCTCCCCTCCTCCTCATCATCAATACCACCACCACGATCATCATCCGCATCATCATCATCATCATCATCATCATCATCATCATCATCATCATCATCATCATCATCATCATCATCATCATCAGCATCATCATCATCATCATCATCATCGTCATCATCAGCATCATCATCAGCAGCAGCAGCATCAGCAACATCATCAGCAGCAGCATCAGCATCAGCATCAGCATCAGCATCAGCATCATCATCATCATCATCAGCATCATCATCATCATCAGTAGCATCATCCTTGTCATTATCATCATTACCACCAGCATCATCAGCAGCAGCAGCAACAGCAGCAGCAGCATCACAACTTGACCGTCAACAAAGTCAGCATCAACAGCATCATCATCATCGTCAACCTCATCATCAGCAGCATCATCAGCAGCAGCATCATCAGCATCAACGTCATCAGCATCAACAACATCATTATCATCGTTACCGTCATCATAATCATCACCATCATCACCATCAGCATCAGCATCAGCACCATCGTCATCAGCAGCATCATCAGCAGAATCATCACTTTTATCAGCAGCATCATCAACATCAGCATCATCAGCATCATCATCACCAATCATCATCACCATCATCAGCAGTAGCATCCGCATCATCGTCAACCTCATCATCATCAGCCTCATCGTCATCATCATCGTAATCATCAGCATCACCATCCTCATCATCATCATCAGCAGCATCATCAGCATCACCATTATCATCGTCATCAGCATCACCACTATCTTCATCGCCATCATCAGCATAATCACCACCATCAACATCATCATTAACAAAGGCATCACCATCATCACCACTATCATCAGCAGCATCATCAGCATCATCATCATCGTCACCGTAATCGTAATCGTCGTCGACATCGTCATCATCGTAATCATCATCATCACCATCATCAGCAGCAGCATGATCATCACCATCATCCTCGTAATCCTCATCCTTATCCTCATTATCATCACCACCATCACCACCACCATCAGCAGCAACAGCATACTGCTCAGTCACTCTTCCTCCCGAGTCTCTACAGGGGGCTGGGTAGGCGTCCATGCCATTGCGCCGAGGTGCCTGGCGACGTCGTCGTGGACGCTGGCGAGCCCCTCGTCCACGAGCGACAGGAACGTCGCTGCCAGCACCGGCATCGCTGCGACTGAGACGATGCCGTCCTTCGCACACCCGTCGCCGTAGGCCTCGTGGAACACCACCCTGTCACGAGGGTCGAGGATCGAGGAGGATCGAGGATCGAACATCGAGGCTGGAGACTCGCGGGATCAAGGCTCGAGGGAGGTTTCGGCCGCCTGTGAGCCTCTGGGGGCCTCTGGGGGCCTCCGAGGGGACCTCCAGAGAGCCCTGGAGGCCTCCGCCGACACTGGACACTGCGCCTGCTCGTCCCGAGGGGGAGACCCTGCGTGCGGCAAGGCGGTGGCGCCGCTGCGCGGACGAGGAAAGAGAAATCACCGACCCCTGGGGGCCACGGGGTTCGCCGGCTCGGAGAGGCGCCGGCTTGCAGCGGTGCCAGAAACTCGTTAGGGCGTCCGAGGCCGAGCAGCCATCGCCCCGAGAGCCCTCCAGGACGGCCCGTGAGCGGCCTCGAGGGGGAGGAGAGGAGGACCCGAGGCGTGCGACAAGTTTCGCAGTGGCTCGGCGATTCTCGGATCTTCTCCAATGGTGTCTTTCGACTGTTTCCAGCTGCTTCCAGATGTGTTCGGAGATTTGGGAGGGTCTGCTTCAGGGAAGGAACAGACGCAGGAGCAGGACGAGGTGGGCTAGGGAGAGGAGGGGGAGGAGGACGACGGCGACAACGATCAGGAGAAGGAGCAACCGCAGCACGGGGAGGACGTGTTCCCACGCAGCGGTCGATGACCATACTCAACGTGGTGATGGTACAGTGGAAACGTATATTAAGGACGCGTGGTAAGGACGCAAGACCCTTGGAGGCTGAAGTTGGGATTTGTTGGGCGGCGGCGACCAGTGAAAACGGCAAAGGACGGGCCACAGAGGCAAGGACGCAAGGGCATCCTAGATGAAGGCGCGCGTCCTTACTAGGCGCGTTGACTGTAAGGAGGAGGGCAAAGAGAACAGGGAGGAGGGAGCAAGTGAGGACAGAGGAGGAGGAGGGAGGACGGCTGCGGGAGACGAGAGGGGAGCGAACAGGTAATTAGGAGGGAGAGCAGAGCGGGGAGGGAGCAGAGGGGAGTGAGGAGAGATGGGCGCTAGAGAAGGGCGGGAGGAGGGAGAAGGAGCGAGGGCGAGGGGCGGACGGACTTGGGGGGAGGGAGGAGGCGACGTCGACGACGCGGCGGACGACGACGACGTCGACAACGACGCAGACGTCGAAGGTGTCTGACGCCCACGACGACGGCGTCGGCGACGACGCCGCCGACGGCGGCGGCGACGGCGACGGCCCTCGGCCTGCCGCGACGCGCCACGGCGAGCACCACCCCCGGCAGCTTCCCCGCCCCCCGCAGCTTGCCCGCCCACTCCCGGGCGTGGCGGAGCCTCTCGGGGTCCAGGCCGAGCTCCTCGGCGGCTCGATCCGCCTCGGGCTGCTGCTGCTGCTGCTGTTGAACTCTCCCTTCTGGGGAAAATCAAGCACTGATCCCCCCTCCCGAAAACAACGCGTGCTCTTCTGTGGAAGCGCCCCTCCCGGTCCCGGTGCTCGCGCCATGCTTTTTGTACGAAAAGTCTTGGGTCGCCACACTCTTGGCCTCCGAAGTCAACGCCTCCCGCCGGATACTTCCCCACAATTTGGGCAAAATCGCGCTCTCGCGCGGACTTCCTCGCAATTCACCCGGGAATCGCGCTCTCGCGTGATACCCGCTTGGCATTTCTTGAGACGCCGGGCCCTCGACACCCAGGAATCACGCTCGAGCGCTCTGGACTTCCTCACGAGTTCCTGGGGAATCGCGCCATCGCCAAAGACTCCCTCGACATACAGGACTGACGCTTCAGCGACGCGCCCGCTCGACCTGGCCATCTGGGTCCGCCCGCCCGACCCGCCCGTCTGTTCCTGCCGCTCGTTTCCCTGCTCCTAACCTCCCCTCTTGCTAATCTCTCTTGTGCTCCATCCTTCTCCCACCCCCTTGCCCCTTCCCTCCTCCCTCCTCTTCCTGTTTTGAGGGCTGCGCCAGCGACACGTGACAGATAAAGAAGAGTTACCCCCAAGGAAATACGGCTGAAGACGGAAAGGACGGGCATCGAGGGCTTAAGATAGACATCTTAAGTTGCACGCGAAGTAGCAAGAGCGAACAGTCATAACCTGACTGTGGTTTTACGATCTTCAAGTCTTGAAAAAAATGTATTGTTCATCAACCATCCAATGACCACGGTGCCCATTCAATTTCTGTCACAGGGGAAGGTATTGAGCCTCGGACTGCGCCCCTGGCCCCCGGTCTACAACACGAGAACCATGAAAACACGTCGTCCAGTTCTGACCGTGCTCATTTCTAATTGTGCTCGTTTCTAATTGTTCCTGGCCCCCTAGCGGCCAGGAAGAAGCCCAGGATGGAAGAATTAGAAATGAAAGGATCTTGGCCCCAAAAAATCAAAGAACTTCCGAAGAATTAGAAATTAACCATGTGTACTTATTCCAGTATAAATATGCTCGATCTTATCCACTCGCGTCCCATTCGACATGCACGTCCCAAACCCTCGATGCCCGCCCTCTTTGCCTTCGGGCGCATCCCCCTTGGAGGCAGGCCTTCCTTACCTGCCGCGTCCAGTTGGCGCAGCTCCTAGAACAGGGAAGGGACAAGGAGGAGGGAAGGGACAAGGGGAAGGGAGAAGGATGGAGCACGAGAGAGATTAGCAGGGAGGGGGGTTAGGAGCAGGCGGTGAAGCGGCAGAACCAAACGGGCGGGTCGGGCGGGCGGACCCTAACGGGCGTGTCGGGCGGGCGGGCATGCACAGCCGGGTCGATCGGGCGGGTCGCTGCAGCGTCGGTCCTGCATGAATCGCGAGGGAGTCTTTAGCGATAGCGCGATTCCCAAGGAAATCGAGAGGAAGTCCAAAGCGAGAGCGTGACTCCTGAGTGTCGAGGGCGCGGCGGCTCATCAAATTCCGAGGACGTCCCACGCGAGAGCGCGATTCCTAGAAAAAGTATGAAGAAGCTCCGCGCGAGAGCGCAGTCTTGAATAAGCTGCAAGAAGAAATATCAAGAGGTAGCCCTTGTTGTTGCACTTCGAGAGCCAACAAGGGGCGCGAGCCTAGGGAGGGGCACTTCAATTAAAAAACACAGAATGGGCACCGGAGGGGGATCAACAATAATTGCGTGGACATGGAAATTCAACAGCTCCCGCCTGAGATCTTACTCACAGTTTATTCAAGGTCGCGCCCTCGCGCAGGATCTCGTCACCATTTATGTAGGAATCACGCTCTCGCTTTGGCCTTCTTCGCAATTTGCTTGGGACTCGAGTGTTTGCTAAAGACTCCCTCGCGATGCATGCAAGACTGACGCTTCAGCGACCCGTCCGATCGACCCGGCCGTGTATGCCCGCCCGCCCGACCCGCCCGTCAGGGTCCTCCCGCCCGACACGCCCATATGGTTCTGCCGCACGTTTGCCTGCTTCTAATCCCCCTCCTGCTAATCTTTCTCGTGCTCCATCATTATCCCTCCCGCTTGTCCTTTCCCTCCTTCATCCTCTTCCTATTTCAGGGGCTGCGCAAACTATACGTGACAGGTAAGGAAGATATACCCTCAAGGGGGGCACGCTTGAAGACGAAGAGTGCAGCGATCGAGGATTCGGGATACACATGTTGAATTCACGCGAGCAGATAAGAGCGAACAAGAGTACAATGGTTGTTGTTGTTGTGTCTGTGGTGTGGCCGCGGCCTCTTCGAGGTGAACCGTTTGAGGAACAAAAACGCGAAGGCCGGTTTTTGACATGCGCGGCCTCAAGATGCCCTCGCTTGGCCTGGAGGCCGTCAGAAAACGATCCGGGATACAAAAAAAAACGGTCCCAGGGAAGGGGTCCAGACCTTTGGGTAGCCACGTGGTGGAATAGACACGAGGTAGATGTCTGAATAGGGGGGCGGGCTCGTGGGGGGGGAAACATCGAGCTGGAATCGGCGACACATCGCCGATAGATCAGCGATGGGCCTCCGATAGCTGATTCCTATGCTCCCAGGCGGGGTGGGCTATCGGGCCACTATCGACGACCTATGAACGACTGGGGGGTTCGAAGAGGGGGGGCCGGGGCGCATACGCCCCGAGGCACGTGCGCCGACGAGGGGGACAGAGGACGCCAAACTCCAGAGAAGGCCCTGAAATCGGTGTTCTCTTAATCAGGGCAACTAGGGGAGTAGGAGGAGGAGGAGGGGACCTCACCAAGGGGGAGCCAAGTCTCCTAAGCCCTGGGTGAGAGAGAGGCTGGCGAGGGCAACGCTTTTGTCCGTAAGAGCTCGGTGCCCGGCTCGCGCCATGCCCACTAATGTGGCTGGCCAGACCCGCCGCCCCTCCCGTTTACGCATGTGGAACATATGGCGTAACACATCGATGCAAGGAACAATCGAAGCACGAGTGGCGAGCGGAAGCGGCGGCAGTAGAGGAGACATTCGAGCGACGGCGGAATAACGTGGAACAGTCAGCGGGGAGGGCGGGGAGGAGTGAGCAGAGGCGAGCAGGGGCCTGGCACGCAAGCATGTGATCGAAAGAGTCGCCCTGGGCCGCACCGCAGGAAAGGCACGGTCCTGTCTTCTCGCGGGAGCGACGGCGTGCGGCCCAACCCGTGGCAGACTGTGCGGGGGATGAAGGGGGAGGACGGGGCAGGGGAAGGACGAGGAGGAGGGAACCTAAGTGAGCGATCAGCAGACAGAGCGAGGGCCACAACATCTGGTACACTTCGCGGCCCCGGCCAGGATACCCGACCCCTCCCCAGGTGCTCCCCCCCTCCCTCTCCTCCGACGTCGCAGCATTGTTTGGTGGCATGGGCCCCCGGGGATCTCGACCCCTTCCCCAGGGCAAGCTTTTTTATCCCGAGCCCACTGGGGTCTGATAGATCTCAGTGCAAGAACGGCTTGCGTACAGACAACAGCATGCCGAGTTAACCCAACCCAGAACGGTATAGTGAGTGAACCACGTGTTGCATACATGTTAAGATTTGTTGACGGCCCCAAGGCCGCGAAACGGCCTCCAGAGGCCGAAAACTTTCAAAAAAAACCCATCGCGACTGTTGTTTTGCGACGCGCAGAGCTTAGGAGCCATCAACGCCCCCAGAGGAAGGGGGGATGAGCATCGCTGATCCGATCCCCATACCCACTGGCGTCGCCTTGATCCCACTGGCCGGCTTACGCCCCGCCCCCCCCAGGTGGGGATCGGAGGTTGGGGGGTGAGATCGCAGTGGAACGAAGAGCCCCCCACTGGGAAGTCGGTTTCGGATTCGTGTCCGTGTCGCGCGTGCGAGCGAGGCGAAGCTGCGTAGGCGCGCGAGAGGAGTGACACCGCCGTCGCCAGGGCGATTCGGATGCAGTGGACCGTCCCTCCGCCACTGGTGGGCGCACGGTGGTCTTGTGGTTTCCCGCCGTGGTGTCCTGTGGTGTCCCGTTGGTGTCCCTTTGGTGTACCGTCGGTGCTCCGTCGGTGATGGGCGGGCGGTGGCCGGGGGTGTCCCGCCATAATATCGATAGGGAAGTCGATAGTGAGAGCGATAACGAGATCGCTAGAATGGGTCGGATGGTGAGATCAAAAGTGGCATCGACAGTGAGGTTCATTGTGACAGTGTTTGTGAGAAGCGGGGGCGATAGTGACATCGCATCGCAGCGCAACATCTTCATCAGGTGTCATCGCTAACTCGAAGGCGCGTCACCAGCATCGTCGTCATCACACCCATCGCATTTGCGAGCAGTTGGCTTTTTCCCCCCACCCCCCACCTCCTTATCACCCGAGGGATGGTCGCACAGGTACATGTATGCAGTTCCCTTCGGGTCTCGCGGGACCTCTCCCCGCCTGGGGGGGGAGTTGCTGGTGGGGCTGCAATACTATGACCCAGTGGGGATGAGGATCGGTCGATGCTGAGGGGAGGCTTCCTCCTCCCCAGACGTCCGACGTTGTATTTTTTGTACCAGCTTGGCTTCCCAGAGGTCTGGATCCCTGCCCTGAGACTGGCTTTCTATCCCGAGCCGTTTTTTCATGGCCCCGGGTCCGCCGAAGGCCCCCGAGGACCGAAAATGGCAAACAACTCCCGCCGTGATTCTTCCATAACGAGAAGACGCCCTTGATTTGGGGGTCCTAACTCGGCTCCCTGGCGGCCGTTCGGGATAATCCGGGCACCCCCAGAACGCCCTCGGCGAGGGGCAGCTGCTGAAACGCACCCCGAGCCTTGAAAGCCACTGAGAACCAACGAAAACGCAAGAAGAAAACCTCGAGCTTCGAACTTCGAACTTCGAACTTCGAACTCGAACTTCGAAAGGCGAGGACGTCAGGGTCGCCTCGGAGGTCGCCCCGCTCGGGCCACTTGCCGGCTTCGCGGGACGCGACTGGTACCACATCGCGGCCGCCATGGCGAGCGCTGGTAGGGTGCCGGCCAGCCCAGAGGCCGGCTGCGCCGCGAGCCTCGGACGACGACGACGACGACGACGACGGCAGTGCCCATCCTCATATACTCCTCCTACTCCTCCTCCTCCGTCTCCTCATCTCATCCCCCCGTCCATCCATACATCCCTGTCCTTGCCCGTTTCTACCTCCTCCGCTTCCTCCTCCTCCATTGCATTTCCCTTATAAGTAATTTCTCCCTGTCGCACCCCGAGGCCAGTTTGGGGCGGGCCAAGCGACTCGCCTGAGATTTCCTTACCATTTATGACTCTGAAGCCTAAAGAATGATACCAGCTTTACAGATGGAGGGCGGGTGGTTCTCAAAATGTGGCTCTCGCCTTAGCGCGGCGCACATTCGTTATAAACATTTGCAAGAGTTTCACGGATTGAGGGCGGGTGCTTTTCAAAATGTGGCTCCAGTCTTGGCGTCGCGCATATTCTTTTATTTTAATTGCAAGAATTTCACGGGTTGAGGGTGGCTGGTTTTCAAGATGTGACTCTCGCCTTAGCGCCGCGCAAAATTCGTTTTACAAAAATCGCAAGAGCTTCACGGATTGAGGGCGGGTGCTTTTCAAAATGTGGCTCTCGCCTCAGCGCCGCGCACATTCGTTTACAAAATTCGCAAGAACTTCACGGATACTGATTCCCATGATCAACGTACCAGAAACGGCATCTTGGAAAGATTCAGGATTACATATGCAGGCGCAACAGTTCTATTGAACCGCGGGTTTACACTGGTCCTCCTCCTCATCCTCCTCCCTGCCTTCCTTACTTCCTTCCTCCTCCTCCTCCTCCTCTTCCTCCTCCACCTCCCCCTCATCCACCTCCTCCTCCACCTCCTCCTCCTAGTCCTCCTCCTCCTGCTCCTGCTATTCCCCCTCCTCCTCCTTCCTCTCCTCATTCGCCTCCTCTCGTCCTCCTCATCATCATACTCCTCCTCTTCCTGCTCCTCATTTTCTCCTCCTCCTCCTCCTCCTCCGCCTCCTCCTCTTCATCCTCCTCCTCTCATCATCAGCATCAGCATCATCATCAGCATCATCATCACCGCCATCATCAGCATCATCATCATCATCATCAACATCATCGTCATCATCATGATGAGCATCACCATCAACAACGTCAGCATCATCAGTTCCATCATCGGCATCATCATCAGCATCATCAGAATCGTCATCACCATCACCATCACCTTTACCACCACCATCACCATCATCATCATCACCATCACCGTCATCCCCATCGTCATCATCAAAAACACCAGCAGCATCAGCAGCAGCATCATTATCAGCATCGTCATCCTGATCATCATCATCGTCATAATTACCAACATCAGCATCAGCAGCATCAGCATCATCATCACCGACAGCATCATCATCAGCATCAGCATCGTCATCACCATCAACAGCATCATCACCAGCAGCATCATCAGCAACAGCATCATCGGAATCTTCTTCTGCATCATCATTAGCATTGCCATTCGCATTCCCACCATCAGCAGCAGCAGCATCAGCATCATCATCAGCTTCAGCATCACCATCAGCATCAGCATCGTCATCTTCATCATCCTCTTCATCATAAGCATCATCATCAGCAGCATTTACATCAGTATCGTAATCATCAGAGTCGGCAAACAGCTCCACCATCACCAGCACCATCAGCATCAGAAGCATCATCAACATCATAATCGTCATCACCATCATAATCAGCAGAATCAGCATTAGAATCATCATCATCATCATCATCATCATCGTCAGCATCGAAATCATCATTGTCAGCATCGTCATCATCATCAGCATCATCAGCATCATCAACAGCATCAGTGTCGTCGCCATCGTCATCATCATAATCAGCAGCATCAGCCTCAGCACCAGCATCAGCAGCATCAGCATCATAATTATCATCATCATCATCAGCAGCAGCATCATCATCACCATCATCATCATCCCTCCCTCTCCTCGTCCACCTTCTGCTCGCCCTGATTCGGCCGGTCTCCATCCCCCGGCTCTTCCCCATAATCATACTCCCCCGCATCCTCCTCGTCCTCCGTCTCGCCTCCGCATCCTCCCCCTCCTCCTCCTCCGTCTCCTCATCCTCCTCATCATCATGAGAATCAGCATCACCATCAGCATCATCAGCATCACGATCATCAGCAGCATCATCATCATCAGCAGTACCATCATCAGTACCATCATCAGTACCATCATCAGTACCATCATCACCATCATCCTCAGCAGCATCAGCATCATCATGAGCAAAAGCATAAGCAGCATCCTCATCATCATCAACATGTTCATTGCCATCATCAACATCGCCATCATCATCATCAGCAGCAGCAACAGCATCAGCATCATCATCATCAGCATCAGCATCGTCGTCGTCGTCGCCGTCGTCAGTCATCGCCATCCTGATCATAAATGCCATCATCCTCATCATCAGCATCATCATCAGCATCAGAAACAGTAGCATCAGCATCACAATCATCATCAGCGTCACCAGGATTAGCATCATCGTCATCAGCATCAGCATCAGCATCAGCATCAGCATCATCATCATAATCAGCATCAGCATTGTCACCATCAGCATCATCATCAACAGCATCACAATCCGCACCATCATCCACCCCCAGGCCTCTGGGCTCTGTTCTTGGGACCTCCGACCCCACGATTTCTCGCCCAAAATCAACCCATACCCCCCCCCCCTGGCCGCCACCTCGCCCCCACCTGGCCCCGACACCCCCAAGCCTCTGGGCTCTGTTCTTGACCCCCGACCCCACGATCTCTTGCCCGAAATCGACCCATACCCCCCACCTGGCCGCCACCTCGCCCCCACCTGGCCCCAACGCCTCCAGGCCTCTGGGCTCTGTTCTTGGGACCCCCGACTTCACGAGTTCTCGCCCAAAATCGACCCATACCTCCCCACCTGGCCGCCACCTCGCCCCACTTGGCCCCGACACCCCCACCCCCAGGCCTCTGGCTCTGTTCGTGAGACCCCCGGCCCCACGATTTCTCGCCCAAAATCGGGCCCATACCCCCCACCTGGCCGCCACCTCGCTTCCACCCGGCCCCAACACCCCCAGGCCTCTGGGCTCTGTTCTTGGGACCCCCGACCCCGCGATTTCTCGCCCAAAGTCGACCCATACCTCCCACCTGGCCGCCACCTCGCCCCCACCTGGCCCCGACACCACCAGGCCTCTGGGCTCTGACCTTGGGACCCCCGACCCTACGATCTCTCGCCCAAAATCAACCCATACACCCCACCTGGCCGCCACCTCGCCCCCACCTGGCCCCGACACCCCCACGCCTCTGGGCTCTGTTCTTCGGACCCCCGACCCCGCGATTTCTCGCCCCAAATCGACCCATACCCCCACCCCCCCCCCCTCCCCACCTGGCCGCCACCTCGCCCCCACCTGGCCCCGACACCCCCAGGCCTCTGGGCTCTGACCTTGGGACCCCCGACCCTACGATCTCTCGCCCAAAATCAACCCATACACCCCACCTGGCCGCCACCTCGCCCCCACCTGGCCCCGACACCCCCACGCCTTTGGGCTCTGTCCTTCGGACCCCCGACCCCGCGATTTCTCGCCCAAATTCGACCAAGCCCCCCCAAACTATCCCCCCACCTGGCCTCCACCTCGGGGCCCCCCCACGCTGGCCCCGACATAAACCCCCAAAGCCTCTGGGCTCTATTCTTAGGGAAACCCCCGACCCTCTACGATTTCTCGTCCACAACGACCCATACCCCTCACCTGGCCGCAGCCTCGCCCCCCCTGGCCCCGACTCCCCCAGCCTCTGGCTCTGTTCTGGACCCCCCAGACCCCACGATTTCTCCCACAAAATCTACCCATACCCCACACCTGGCCGCCACCTCGCCCCCACCTGGCCCCGACACCCCCAAGCCTCTGGGCTCTATTCTTGGGACACCCGCCCCCACGATTTCTCCGCGAAAATCGACCCATACCCGCCCACCTGGCAGCCATCTCGCCCCCACCTGGCCCCGACACCCCCAGGCCTGTGGGCTCTGTTTTTGGGACCTCCGGCACCACGATTTCTCGCCCAAAATCGAACCATACCCCCCACCTGGCCGCCACCTCGCTCCCACTCGCTCACCAACTGGGCCCCGACACACCCAGGCCCTCTGGGGCTCTGTTCTTGAAGACCCACACCGACCCCACGATTTTTCTCGCCCAAAATCGACCGATACTTCCCTCCATGCCCCCCCCTCCATGCACCCCCCCCTCCCTGGCCACGACGCCCCCAGGCCTCTGGGCTCTGTTCTTGGGACCCCCGACTTCGCGATTTCTCGCCCACAATCGACCCATACCTCCCACCTTGGCCGCCACCTCGCCCCCACTTCGCCCCGACACCCCCAGGCATCTGGGCTCTGTTCTTGGGACCCCCGACCCCGCGATTTCTCGCCCAAAATCGGCCCATACCCCCCACCTGGCCGCCACCTCGCTTCCAACCGACCCCGACACCCCCAGGTCTCTGGGCTCTGTTCTCGGGACACCCGACCCCACGATTTCTCGCCCAACATCAACCCACACCCCCCACCTGGCCGCAACCTCGCCCCCACCTGGCCCCGACACCCCCAGGCCTCTGGGCTCTGTTCTTGGGACCCCCGACCCTACAATTTCTCGCTCCAAATCAACCCATACACCCCACCTGGCCGCCACCTCGCCCCCACCTGGCCCCGACGCCCCACGCCTCTGGGCTCTGTTCTTCAGACCCCCGACCCGACGATTTCTCGCCAGAATCGACCCATACCCCCACCCCCCCCCCCCCACCCCCCCACCTGGCCGCCACCTCGCCCCCACTTGGCCCGACACCCACAGGCCGGGAGCTCTGTTCCTTGGGGCCCCCCGACTCCACGATATCTCGCCCAAATTCGACCCACACCTTCCCACCTGGCCGACACCTAGCCCCACCTTGCCACCGACACCGGGTCCTGGGCTCTCTTATTCGGACCCCCG